GGGGGGGGGGTGTTGGATGATGAGGCCTGGCCGGCTTGGCCGGTGGAAAGGTTTTGGCCAGATTGGCCGGAGGAGGGGGGTTGGTTATTTCGGGCGGAAGAAGATGGTTGGCCGGTTTGGCCGACGGGGGTGGATTGGATGGATTGGTCGGAGGAGGAGGGGGGTGATGACGTTGTGACGACGGTGATGGCGGGTGTGTGGTTTTCGAGGGAGGTGACGAGATCGGATATGGAGGTCATGGAGGCCTCGATTTTGCGGAGCGAGGCAGAGAGTGCTTGAAACATGGTCGTTGAGAGCAGAGGTGAGGAAGGCGATCATTGTGGAGGAGGCGGGTAAGGAGATCGGTGAGAGGGAGCTCGGGCTCATGGGTGAGGGCTGTGGCGAGGTGGGGGAACCATACCCGCTTGATGCGGGAGATGAAGACGTAGTCGGGAATGAGAGTCGACGAGATGTGCAGGCGGAGGGAGCGAACGTAATGGATGAATCGCTCGATGGGGCCGGTTTAGCGGAGGTTGCAAAATTGATCGATGCAGTCATCGATGGTCTTTTGCGGACGGAAGGTGGTGATGAGAAGGTCGGCCCATTGAAGGAAGGTGATGCGGGGAAGGTCGTTGGCTCGGTGGTTGTTGGCTTCGGTTAACCACCATTGAGCGGCGGCGCCTCGGAGGCGAGAGGTTGCAATGGGGAGCCAATGAGCGAGGGGCATGTTGTGGAGATCGAAGGCATTTTGAATTTGAGAGAGGAAAAGGAGGACGTCCTTGTGGGGCAGGCCGGAGAACGTCGCGATATCGGTGGCGCGGAAGGAGCGGTTAATGTCCCCGTTGCGGGGGACGATGCAAGCAAGGTTGTTGAAGTTGCGGTCATCGGGAGAGGTGTCGTTGCAGGTGTGATCCTGACTGCGGTCACCAAGGAGGTAGCAAGGAGGAGGCTGGGGTATGGCGGGGTAAATGCCCGAAAGGACTTGGGTGTAAGAGGGGTGGACAAAGGGGATGGTGGAAGTAGTTAGGAGAGGTTGGGTGAGGGGGGAGGAGAGGCGAAGGGGAGTGGTTCGTGTAGTGGTGGAAGCACTTGTAGTAGGTTGTGAGGAGGGGAGGGAAACGGGAAGGGAAGTGACGGGGGTGGAAGAAGGTGTGGTGTAGGACGGTGGGGGGTGGTGTTGGATGATGAGGCCTGGCCGGCTTGGCCGGCGGAGAGGCTTTGGCCAGATTGGCCGGAGGAGGGGGGTTGGCTATTTCGGCCGGAAGAAGATGGTTGGCCGGTTTGGCCGGCGGGGGTGGATTGGATGGATTGGCCGGAGGAGGAGGGGGGTGATGACGTTGTGACGACGGTGATGGCGAGTGTGTGGTTCTCGACGGAGGTGACGCGATCGGATATGGAGGTCATGGAGGCCTCGATTTTGCGGAGCGAGGCAGAGAGTGCTTGAAACATGGAGGAGAGATGTGTTCTCCCCGGTGCCTGGCTGGTCGACAAGCTCGCGGTGGATATCCTCGACGGAATCCATGTGGAGCGAGCCCATATTGATGCTTGAGGTGCCTTCGGCCATGGGGAGGGACGAAGGTGGGACAGAGGGAGAAAATGGAGTGGAGGGGACAACGGAGGTGGCAGCAGCGGCGGCGGCACGTTGGGAGTTCTTTGTTTGCCGGAGCATGCGGAGAGTGGGGGGAAGGAATTAATATAGAA